TGACAGCAAGATGATGGTGTCTGTACATGTGCCGTGTCTAAGACCAGTTTCCCTGTGCTGGAGGACCTGGGGCAGGAGTGCCTCCTCCTGAACGTGTGTTTTGTGCTCTTTGTGAATGTAAATCTCACATGAATGAACACCGTGGAGCAGCTCTGTGCTTCGTAAAGGCTTGAGGCTTCTGGGCAGCCTTGTTGCTGGAGATTTCATTCTTTGACATCACAACTGTGATTAGTATGTGCTGAACGGTAGAGGCACTGCAAGGAGGGAGGGGTTGTGTGTTAAGCTTTCGTGGAAGGACGTGCTGCATGTTTGCTGCTAGAGTGCAGCCAAGGGCTGTGTTGATGATTTTTGCTGTAGTAGAGTCCAGCAACATCAGATAAGGCTGGAAGAGACTGCTTGGTGCAAGCCCTGCGTGAGCTCTGCGATGAAATGTCTTAATGATTAAAAATTTAGTAACATTCGCCAAAGTATTGCGCTCTAACAGCAGCAGCTGGAAAACAATGAGACTGAAATGAAACTACTGCGTGGCTTTTCTGCTGTCTTCTCGAAAACTAACAAACTCTTCCCTACTTTTGTCCTGTAAGGTAATTCTAAATGGGAGGAAGAAATTGTGTCCTGAAATGTAAAACAATAGTGGATAATATTCTCCCTTTGACTTGAGAGGATGCCCAGTACTATGCTGGTTGCATCCTCCGCAGAACAGGTCTGGATGGTACAAATAGGTTATATTTAGAAGTTGGTGGCACTAAATTTGGTGGGGTTTTTTTTGTCGGTTAAAAAGGACAACGATGTGCTGGAAAGTGTCAAATGGCATCGTGGGGCTGTGTCATTATTGCCACTCAAGGACCCCGCATCCAGTGCGTTCAGGATGCAGGCAAAAAGATGGCTTTTCTGGCTGCCAACTCTGCTGACTCCATCTGGGATCTAAAATTCAAGCTGTGTCTTTCCTGGCTCTGTCGCTAATAATAAAGATTCTTCATTTGGAACTTAGTTAAACAAAATTAATGCTGGTGCACGAGCTGAAAAAGAGCCCAGCTCGCTTTCCTCGAGACGCGTGGGCTTAAAGCGCTAACAAGAAGGAACATAATCATTTTAATCTATAAGGTCATCAGATTATTTAATAGACACCACATTTGTGGAGGAAACAGAAGATATTTTAGCATAACAAGAGTGTTGTTCATACAGCTTTTTAACAAATGCTAGAAAGCTGATTGAATTTGGTCAGCGGAGCTTCTGCTCGCAGACCAGCCAGTAATAGCTCGTTACGTGTTAGGAAGCTTTTCTGCAAACCTGGGGAAATTGCATGTGGTGTAACATATGGTATCATCTTCAGCTCTCTCCTTGGGAAGTGAAGTCTGACTACTCAGTCAATGAATTGCCATATTTTTGTCAGCGAAATGGATGTGCAGCTGTGACATACGCTTGTGAGTGATGTAACCTTTAGCGTCTTTGGCAAACACTGGCGTTAGCAGTCTGTTCCTCTCCATTCACATCTCCTCCAGAAAGTCATTACCAGCTGAGATTACACTAACACGTTCTGTCGTGTAGGTGTTTCCTCCTCTGATGCTATTGAACTGTCAGGGAATAAAATGCCTAATGTTCCCCTTTTCCTCCGAGGAGACGGAGAACAGAGCTTGTGCTGCTGCCTGTTGTACGGAGGGAGGTGGTGAGAAGTGTGTGGCTGTGTGTTGTGAGTTGGAAGGACACGCTGTGCAGGATTGTTTGCTCCACACCACCTCCTGCAGCTCCGCTTTGCTAAACTCGTGGGGGAGGAATATATTGGCTAAATTGTACTTGTAGGCACAACATTACAGTGCTTGAAAGGGTGAAGGCAAGTGGTGCTTAACTTTGAACACGTGCGGCGTGTGTTGGCAAAGGGTTCTGTTTGTGGCTTCATGCTCCTTATTGTGCCCATAGTCTCTGCTCAGCTGATTCTTGGAAATCCATGGGATTAGTCCTCGGGAGCTGCGCGGCGTTGGCAGAGCCGGCTGGTGGGCTCCTTTCCTTTGCTTTTTGACACGGACGGGGAATCGGCTCTGGCAGGGCTCTCTGGGATCCCTGTCGTGCCAGCCCACTCCCACTTGCTGCTTTTTAGCATTCATTGGAAGCTCCCTTTCCAAGCCAAAATCAGCAGTCGGGCAAAAACATGCGGGGAAACGTGGGCAGCCTTCAGGGTGTGTTCTCGTGTGGCCCAACATGATTTTCTGCAGTGCTGTCTTGGGGTTTTTTTTCTTGATCTCTTCCCTTTATTGACTGTAAAACTCCTCAGGAGCATCTTTTGGCAGCTGTTGATGAGAATGAGGTGTCTCTTCTAAAGATGCAATTAGCCCTGAAGTCGTGCAGGTCCAGAGCCTTAATGGCATCTGGTGCTCATGGGTTACAGTGGAATTTGATACTGAAACAGGAGTTAAAAGCTTTGATGCTTATGACCCTCAGAAAAGTAGAATCTTTAGTAACTTTCTTCTCCTGTAACGCGAAACACCTTTTCCTAAAGTGTGGATCTATTACATCACTCCAATTCAGAGAAGCTGAAAACGTTTCCTTCAAGAGAATCGCTGGAATTGGATAGCTCGGAGTCTCTCTCTGGTGTGTTGAGTTGCTGCCAGCCTACATTTGTTTCTTCTCACTAACAGCATTATTACCGTACTTCTAAAGCCTGCAGTTATGGAACATGATGATAACCCTTTTACCTCCTGCCACATCACGGTGTGAACACTGAACTCTGTGCAAACACTTTACATTTTAATTCTTTTCTACCAGACAATGAGCGAGCATGTCTCTGTTAGGAGAGAAATCGTTTAAACCCATCAGTAAGGAACAACAACAGCTCCTGTAAAAGAGGCGACATGGTCTGAATTCCCAGGGACAACTGTTTTTGAAAACAGACCCATGACCCCCCACCCCCCAAACCTGCCGAGTTACCAGGCTGGATTTCCTCCCTCGCAGGCTTCTGAGGGCTCCTTGCTCCGCTGGCTGCTCTGGGATTATGAGAGAGCATCTCCCTTATCGCTTTGCACGTGCTGTGCCATCTGTCCTCAGTCTCCCTTTATAGGGGTATGGATTCCAAATGACATTTCTGTCTTGGGAGATAACAGACATGTCTGAAGAACCTTGCTAGATATGGCTGTAGTGCTATTTATGTTGCAAGGTTTTTTCCCCCCTCGTCCTGCAGCCAGAGTGAACTCTGGTGAACCTTTCTTGGTGTTCTACACCCAGCCATTGAGAGAATGTTTTATGCTGTGGTCCCTGGGAAATACAGGGAAAGTCCCCCTGCTCTAGTGTGCGTGTTCTGCTCGAAGCAGGCGAAGATGAAATATTACTAAATTCAGACGTTACAAGAACACAAGAGATGCCTTTAATCTTTTATTGTACATTATAAAATGTTTATTGCTCTGTCTGTATCAGAGGTGTTGGCCTCTCCCTCTTGATGATGGAGTATGTTCTGGCAAAGGATCCACTGAAGAGACCTTTGGGGTTGGCCTGTTTTCTGAAACTGGCACAAGGGAAGCCCTTGCTTGTTCACCAACACATCTGCAAGGAGACTTCCTAATGCCTTTCTCCCAAATCAACTATTTTGGCAAGGCTGGTGACAGTGGAAGAGGAGAGCGAGCTGAGCTCTGTTACTGCCAGCCTGTTTTCTTAGCAGGGATTTTCAAACCAGGCTCATCTGAGTGCAGGTTTGTTGTAACAACATTCAAACCCTACTCAGGCCAACCTGTCTTGGTTCCTTTCATGGAACAAGTAGGATCTTGCCTCATCCCCTAGTGCATGTAGAGTGGTCTTGTGGAGTAATTAAATAAATACAGATACCCCATGGCACACTACAAAGAGTAGATCTTTTCCACATGATGGACTTGGCATCTACCAGCTTCCAGAGCACCAGCAATCCCAGGGATCCTGTCAGCTTACAAACATCAAGCACTTAATAAGAGAGAGAGGAGAACCCCAACCTCTTTCCCATTCATCACCCTCCCTTTGTGGAGGACTGACTCCAGCAGATACCTGGCATTACAACGTCACAAAAATAGTGCAGACAGGACATGTAAGGAGAACCAGACCTTCCCACAGGAACCCTCCTAAAAGAAGCAATTTAAGAACTTAAGCACTCAGAAAAAGGTCCCCTGGGCAAGAGCCTTTCACAATAAATAGCTATTGCCACTGGAGACCTTGCATAGCAACTGGTATCATGAGTTTTTTTCTTTTTTTCTTTTTTTTTTTTTTTGCTGACTGGCTATGTTTTTACGGACCTTCCGTCACACTGGTGGTGGACTCAGGCCCAGCTGAAAATACCACGAAGAAAATGGTTGTAATTATCCTGGAAGCTAAATAACGGCTTCTGGTGTCCCCTCATATTGGTCTGTGCCTCAGTGATCAGCGTGCCCCGATTATCTGAGCTGAAGAGCACCAGTGTGAGACAGGAGAGACAGCAACGGTGCAGCCTCACTGGAGAACAACCAGGGAAGTTCTCGCAGTGGGAATGGAAACTGGGGTATGCCTCTTTTTTCTTTTTTTTTTTTTTTTGTTTTAAAAACCCACCTGCAAGACGTGTTACACAACACACATCAATGGAACGAAGCAAGCCGAGAGCACGCAGCAGCCCAGACCTGGCTGCTGGTCGTGTCTGCGATGAGCTTTCCTCCTTTCTTGCCTGGAGAGGAGTGACAGTGACGGACGCCTGAGCTCACGTTAATACTGCCAAGATGTAGTGACAGTGAGACAAAATAAAGATACAACAAAACCTTGGACGTTTCCAAAGGTGGGAAAATCGTTCCAGAAGACGGAGTGCGAGGGCAGAGAGGAGTGTGTGAGAAGTTGCTCCAGCCCAGGTGATTCACGAGTCCGGTACTGGCTCACCGGCAGCATCTCTCTCGCTGATGCTTTTCCATCGTAATTGTTTGGGTTTCAGGGTTTTTTGCAGGATTTTTCTTTCTGGCCAGATGTTTTGCAGAACCCAGACGAGGAGGTGTATGCCAGCAAGTGACAATCACTAAGTCTCTTTCCAAATTGCTCCAACAATATTTCACCTCCCTGGTCATCAAGGCTCAGAGGCAGAAAGTGAGAGTGAGGGATGGAGTCTATCTACCCGATGGCAGGCTGTCACGCCTCGATGATGTTCACTGAGGGCTTGTTTTTTGGAAACTAGAAGAGAAGAGGAGACAAAGGAAGAAAGGATGTACAGGAATCACTAGAGAGGAAAAAACCCACGTCAGAGATCAGTGCAGTGTGCTGGTCAATATTTGTTTTTGTAAAAGTTTTGTTCCCATCACATCAGGATGATGAAGAAGGGCCAGAGTTGAGGCATTAGGGTTGCGCAGTTCGTCGCTGTCTGCTTCTGAATGAGCATGAATCAGTGGACTATTTCAAACAGTAAGTAAATGTGAAGTGGTGGGGATGTGGCAGTGTGCAAATTGTGAACAGAAACACCAGAAAGTTAAATTAATTGAAATAAGTTGGTATAACTTATATCTGCCTACGTTATGGATATGGCATACCTTTAACATCGTGCGTATTACCAGCCATGCTCCTGCTGATCAGCTCCTCAGTTAATTGCAAGAGTAATTATCCCCTTTACCACGCGTCACTTAAGGGCTGCTGCAGGGGTAGAAGAGCTCAGGGACTGCAGCAACACTCAGTGCATTTTTCTTCCAGAGATGTTCAGCTATTTCAGAAATACGGATCGAAATCTGTTTTGCTGATGGACATGCAGGTTAGTCTAGAGGTGGGAGTGAAGTGCTGCTGTCCCAGTGCCCCTGGGAGGCTCAGACCACTAACGGAGCCGCGGTGCTGGCGTGCGTGGATGCCAAGGGATGTTCCCTTTCCACAGCCCAGCTGGAGGGAGGAGGCTGGAGGGAGGATGTTTAACACAAGCTGCTTTTTGGGTAATTTAGCAGGGGCCCAGCTGGAAGATGATTGCCTGCCCAGTCCCCCACTGCACACCAGCAGCATCTCACCTTGCTGCGGAGGAGCCCTCCGCTCTGGTGCTCGGGAGTGCTGTTCTCCGAGGCGCTCTTGACTTTCTCCTTGCTGTTATTTGGCTCGTTATCTTTGATGATATCGTACTGTCTGCAAAACAGGGCGATCACCCCTAACAGGAAAAAGCATTAGTGATCACACAAATGAGTTCAGCCCCTGGAGCCTGCAGAGATCAGAGATCCCTTGCTTGCCAGCCGGCTTTGTGCCTTCTGGTAGAGATCTCAGCAGCATTCCCAATTGCTCCTAAGGATCATTTTCTAGCTAGTCAGCCCTCTGGCTGTTTCCTTCTCAGAGCCTAATTCCATACTAAACTAGTTAGACAGAAGAACAGAAGATTAATTATATTCCAACTTCCCTGTCATTAGATGGGACAAGCATTTTAAGCCCTGTGTTTGGATAGGGATCAACACTACCCGTGCAGCTGAATGGGATCTTCACTTTGCAAAAAGACAGGAGCTCCTGGAATTTCTGGTTAGTGAAAATCTGTCCTCTGATCTTTCTCCTCTGGGGTGAAGAGAAGGAGCTGGGGCTGGTGGATGGGAGGCAGGTACCACACCTGCCTGCACGCGATGCAGCACGGCCTTTCGAGCAGCAGGACAACATCTGCAAACACGCCGCACTGACGGCAGCAAAAGCTGCCAGTGGAAATTTCCTCCCCCACACTCAGACACACGAAGAGAAAAGCAGGGGCAGCCCTGACACAAGAAGACTGCAAATGTCTTTCTCGGATGCTTTTAGATGACACTTTGACCAAATAGCATCTCTGCCTGCAGATACCAAACGCAGAGGTTCAGTAGACCCAGGCAGGTGCTGCCTCTCCCTTACAAAAAAGTGTTCCAGCTCCCCTAACAGCAAAACACGTGTAAAGCTTTCACCAGATCAACCCAAACTGGTTTATAAAGCGAGATAGTGTTACAGCAGCTGTGCCCAGGTGTTACTGATAAACACAGCGGGCCAAATTCTTCCATGTATGTGAACAAACGGCTGATCCTGGGAGGAGAGGTTAACATCTGCCACACCTCCTGCCATTTCCCGTGGTAAAACTGAGGCGCAGAGAAGCAAAGTGCTGTGAGCACCACCAGAAAGACAGCACAAGAGCTTAGGTCTTGTCTCAGTTCAGAGCCCTGGGCACACACTGGTTCCAGTTCGCGTCTGCTAAAACATCGTCGTGTTCAGGTTATGGCCAGGCTGGGTTAAGAGCTGGAAAGAGGTTTTTGTGTATTGAGAGTTTGTAAAGAACCCACTAGATGTAGAGAGATTTTCCCTCCAGCCACTTTCCTTTTTAAATGTAAGTCAGTCATCTGTTTCGAAGGGAAATTGTGGTATTAGCAAACTCTTTGTTGATCTGAGTTTTAGATTATACTGCAGTGGGAGATGAATCAGTTGTTCAGTCACTTCATGTAATTATTCACGATTGTTTTTACTGGCAGGGCATTTAAATTTGAATGTGGGCAGCTAAAACTTTGACATAAATGCTGACAAGATCATGGACTAGGGGGATTGTAAACCTTGTCATTCAGTATCGGTTTTTATTCAGTTATCGACTTTAGCAATAATTGCTGTCCAGTCTCTGGAAACACAAATAATGTGTGGTAAACTCAGGACTTTCCTGGGAAAAAAAAAAAAAATCATACATGGATCTGATTCTGTGTCACCTGGATTCACTTGTAAGAAACTTTGCAGCGCTGTACAGGACACAGTCAATCCCTCCATCCCCCTCTTTTGGGACAGATCTCAGATCAGTGACTGGTTTTCTCTGCCTATCTCTCCCTGGAGGGATCTCATCTCAGCAGAATCTAGTATAAATGAGCCAAATTCTCTGTTGGAGTAAACTGGTGCAACCCCTATTATTTTAAAGCTGTTGCCCCTTGTCCTGTCAGTACAAGGGTGTGGAGTGACAGGACAAGGGGCAATGGCTTTACACCGAAAGAGGGCAGATTTCGATGAGATCTAAGGAAGAAATTCTTTCCTCTGAGGGTGCTGAGGCACTGGACCGGGTTGCCCAGAGAAGCTGTGGCTGCCCCATCCCTGGAAGTGTTCAAGGCCAGGCTGGATGAGGCTTTGAGCAACCTGGTGTGGTGGAAGGTGTCCCTGCCCATGGCAGGGGGGTTGGAACTGGATGGTCTTTCAGGTCCTTTCCAACCCAAACCAGTCTGTGATTCTGTGAATTCAGGATTGTTACAGTTTAGAGCAGCAGAGATGACAGACCATCCCCTTTGCAGGTCTCCCCTGAAACTACAAGCTGTCGAAGTCATCAACCACTCAGTGCTGCTGCGGTGGGTTTCCCTTCTGACCGAGGAAAATTCTCCGTGCAACTGTGTACACGCTCCATGTGGAGAGAAGTGGTTTGACTGGGACAAGAAAACTAAACACGGAGTGGCAAAGGCTGTCTTTTATGGATCATAGATTTACCATAGCACTAATTTCCTGGCCTGCCCATTTCCTTGGGTCACCTGAAGCATTCCCCCTTGGGCAACGTGCTCTGTGACTCGCAGGGAGCAAATCTGGTTTCATTAATGTTTTATGTGGCAGCAGAAGCAGCAGCTGACTGGCAGCCAGGGGAGACTGGGGCTCCAAATAGGAAACCAACACGTGCAAACTTTATTTCCCATTAACTCATGCATGTAATTTCCAAACTGAACAAGCTGAAGGGTTGGCTGCCGCCGCTTCAGACGTGCTAAGCTGATGGAGCAGGACTCGGAGGCATTTCCCTCTCCCCATTTGCTAGTTTAAAACGTACGAGCAAGATCTGTCCTAGGTACAATTTGCTGCAAGGTCTATTGAAACGTGGTCTCAAACTCATGTCAGAAAACTCTTGGTTCTCTTTGGAAGTTTAATTAATATATTTGTACGTATTACAGAAAGGCACAGTGAGGGATCTTCATATGGAAGGAGCACGTTTGTCTGATGCTGTGTTAGTGCATGTGCCTGGCTATGCCCACCGCATCCCACAGCCAAAAGTTTGGCTCCAAGGGACCCTTCTGCACAGCAGCTTTCAGCTAATGCTAGTCACCTTCCTCCTCCCACCATCCCGTGCTCCTGTAGATGTTTCCTTCCTTTCGGTTAATATTGCTAATGTCCCTCCTCTTCCTCTTAAATACCATTCTTTGTATTTTAATAGTGGATGTTGAGAGGATCTGGGTTTATTCGCGTTTTGATGTTTGGGGCCATTTGTTCTTTCAATGCTTCCATTATTTTAATTGAGTTTGAAGTGGGGTTTAGTGTGTATATAATAGTGGGTGTTGAGAGTGAGACTTTTACATTTCTACTTTGCATGAAAGTTGGAGTCATATAATAGCTGGATAATTACAGTGACCTGTATCGTTTGAAGGGCTCGAGGCATCCTGTTAGATGGCTGAGGGCATTATCGTCAGCGCATTCTGGAAAAATTGAGATTACAGGATTAGCCATGGTGAATTAGGCAATTGGTTCATCACGTCCATTATCTCCTTCCTGCTGGGCCAGATCAGACCACCGATTCACCTGCTTTTGGCACTGCCCAACCTGCGATGCTGCAGAGGGACCTGAGGTGCCCTTACAGCTGAACACACAGCACTCTTTATGGGAGGAAGGGTTTCTTTTCAGGTCTTACATGATTACACGTGCAAACCAAGCAAGCCAGCGATGCCTGCTGGGTCCACTGAGGGGTATTACTTGCTTTTGACAGAAAGATTGAACTGACCTGCCCACATAAACAACACCACAACAATGATGAGAATTTCCCCCGCTCGCAGCTGTTGGTTTTTCTTCGCCATCTCCTTCATCGTCACCTCATCTGCACAAGGGGAAAGAGAGATGGTGAAACCAAACCGCCTTGACTCGAATCGTCAGTCTGTCCGGGTCGGAGTTAGCCGGGAGAGTCGTGCCGGCAGCACGAGCTGCACCTTGAACTTTGCAGAGCATCAGCTGCTCTGCAGCAACTGCCCCGGCCAACCTGGAGGAGATGGGGCGAGGGAGGAGCAGTCAGACAGGACCAACAGGCGGTTACCAGCGAGGAGCTGCCGTGGGGTAAATCCACGTTCTCTGGCCCCGCGGCGGCTCGCTCTGCTCTGCCTGTGGTCTCTGTCAGTGCCATCTGCGCCTGTCACAAAGCCTCGCACGCTTCAGCAGTTCCTCTCCCAGCTCAGGAGCGTGGAGCCTGGCACGGTGTTTTTCAGTGGAGCTGTGGGATTCAGAAATGAGTAGAGCCTTTTTGCAGGGCGTAACGCGCCTCCTTGGCTTCAAAGCACTAAGAAGATTACAGTTCAGGCCTCCAGGGAGGGAAGCAGTGCTCCTCTTAGTGCTTTCAGATGAACAGCAATTCAGTATTTACAGACACCAAATCATTTTAGCAGAAAGAGTCAAGAACTCACAACATCCTAGGAGCCATGGCCAAAAGCCCTGCAACAGGCTGGGTTGTCAGCAGGCAGGTAACCCTTTGTATCCCAGACCCCTGTACTCCCTTGCCCTTGCAGGAGCAGGGATTCTTGCTGCCAGAAAACCTTTCAACAACCTGGTTTGGCTTAAGAGGAACAAGTGAAGGAGTTGCCAGTGAGGAATTGCCTGATTTCCTCCATGGAGATATTCAAAACCCAACTGGACGTGATCCTGGACCACCTGCTCTAGTTGACCCTGCTTGAGCAGGGGTTTGGACTAGGTGATCTCGAGAGGTCCCTTCCAACCTCAACCTTTGTGATTCTGTGATTTGACAGAAATATTTGAAATGTAAGATAAGTGGGAGTCTCTGGGTATTTTTTTTCCCCTGCTGTCCTGGAATCCAAGCACAGCAGGCTCAGTGAATCCACCCAAGTGCCCTGTGAGCACAGTGGTGGTGTGCCCAGTGCCATCCCAGGGTCTAGTTCCGCATGAATTTCCTCTGACATTCTCCACTTACAAGGATGTTGGACACACAACTCCCTGCCTGGAAACCTTCTCCTGCTCACTTTGCCTGTTAAACCTCATCTGAAACGGGAGAAATGAGTAGGAGCCTTCGGCAGTACCTCCCTATCGCTTTGCGCACCCGTCAGCCTTGCTGGGTCCACTCAGGGCATCCCGCTTGTCCACGTGGGGCTGGGAGAGGGTGCTCAGCCCTGCGTGCGTTTGCCCCAGCTATTCTCATTGCACAGGATACTGCTCTACTCTCTGCAGAGCCCTACGCTGCCTGGGCGTCCCAGGGGCCACATAGGAACTCACCCACACTTGCCTTTATTTTTAGAGGCTAGTTTCTCAGCTTCCCTGGGGGTCTTGAAGAGGACTGGCTCACTGGCAGGGCTCTGGCCTTGGATGCTGATGGACTGGACATGCACAATGTACTCAGTGTCCTCCTCTAGGTCCCAGAGGGCACAGGAGCGGGTGGTGGTGTTCACCTCCTGGATGAAGCGCAGCATCCGCACGTCCTTCTTCTGGAAGCCGAGAGAGGAGAGCACAGAGTGGTGGAGAGGCCTCCCGTGTGCACTGCTGTCATCTAAGACCACTGCTTCCTGCCCTGTCCACCACGGACGTGGAGACCATCAGACCCTTTCCCCTCTGCAGCTACCAATACATGAAGTGCCGCTGCAAAGAGGACGGGAAGCCAAGTCCCCTCCCGGACCACGAGGGACAGGACGAGAAGGAATGGGCTTAAACTGCAGCGAGAGAATTTGGAAACTGAGGGGACCTGGGGTGAAGAAGAACATGACTGAAACTGGGGAACCGTAGGCACCGTACCTGTTGGGAAATAGCAAATCCAATGACAACTTCATCTTCCAGAACATCCCAAGTCACGACGGCTGAGTTGGCTTTCAGGTGTTTGACTGTGACATTGACTGGAGCCGACGGGCTGTCTGCAAGGAGGGAGAGCAGAGCCTTTACAGAGGCAAAGTCACAGCCAGGAGACAGAGCAAGGGCAAGGAAGGGAGGAGGAAAGGACCTCATTCACGGTTCGTTCTGGGCATGGGACCTGGAAATTGCAGGTACTCCACATCTCAACCACCAGTGAGGCTCTAGGAGATCTCTGCTGAGAATATGAGTTGCGTTAGACGTATGAGAAATATCTGACCCTTGGAAACAGTTTCTTTGACAACACAGCAGACCACCGAGTAGCTCGTTCATCCCATCCCTCCCAGCCACGTACCACGTTTTCTCTGCTGTTTCCTATTACGGTCTGACAGTGACAGCTGGCAGGAAATGCAAAATCTGCCTGGGAAGTATGAAAACTGAACGCTTTGACAAGCACTCCGGAGGTTTGAAACTCGGGAGCAGTAAATGGGTGTGTTTCTGTTGCTTTTCCCTGTTAGTTTGACAGAATTTTTTTTATCCATGTTTTGTGGCTGACGGGCTGTCTCTTTGATGGTCAGAGGACATCCAGTGACCATCGCTTACAGCTAGAAGAACAGAATATGCGGCAGCGGCACTGATGGACCAGTGTAACGTGAAAAGGACAGGCCATGAGAGCAGTAGCTCGAGGGTCCATGTTTATTCCCAACTCCAGAGCACAGCAGAGTTTCCAGCTGCAGGTGGATCTGCGTAGCTGCCTTGCCAAGGTGAACTGGGCTCCGATGTACAGCACACCCTCACCGGAGCCTCTTCCCAAGGGAGCTGCACAGTGCAAAGCCCTTCTGGGCATCTCAAGGCATCTCCACCATCTTCACCTCCCAGGCTTGGCACAGTCCTTCCAGTGCTCCATGCAGCAGGTTGGACTCCTGTTCCCTCTCCACTGGTCAAATTTAATTCACAAAGATCCAGCTTGTGCCTCGAGCCCAAAGGCAGTAAATGCTAACGAGACTGTTAGGACTCCGACTGCCCCAGGAGGTCAGCAGGGTGAGGAGGAGTCATTTTTCCTGACTCCCATCAAAGAATAATAGTTTTATTGCTTCCTAACACTGCCCTGCTGGGGCTGGGACTGAGCTCACAGTAAAAGAAGGATGCGTGTGTGCACGTCTCCAGTAACACTTGTTGGATTTATAGACAGTCCCAGCCGCCTGAATGTGGCCGAAAATATTCTAGCTGTAGTGTCAGTGTCTCCTAACAACTGACTTCACTCCCAGTGAATGTTCCACCGGGAACAGAGAAAATAACGGGAGCACAAAATTCCCCAGCTGAATGTCAGTGCTGTTCTACACTTAGCAGAGCGATGACCTTATTCCTTTCTCTCCTCCCCAAACGACACCCAGAGTCCAGCCTTCCAAGCTCCCCTTTCTAGCAGATGGGAGCCCCACACCCACCAGTGAGACCCTCAGGCACGGGATGTCTGGACAAGCCGCTGGGACCTGGACTGATTCCAGTGAGTCCTTCAGTGAGCAAAAAGGTCACTGAAATGTGCGTGGCTAAATTCCCATGAATTTGGGACTTGAGAATGAGGAGCAGCAAGCAATCGTGGCCTCCAGGATTCCATAGTGGGAGGTCTCCTTCCTCTGTGGAGTAGATGATGAAGTTGGGATTGACCCTGAGCATTCTCGTCTCTCTGGGTTTGGCCTTCATGAAACAAGGTGGGGGTCTCCAGCCAGCTCTCGGAGAACAGAAACATTTACCATCCTCACCCTCCACTGCAGCAGCAGGACCAAGGACACGCTGAGCAGGGGAGATGGATCACCCTTCCCAGCCTGGACACCCATCCCTTCTGGACTCAGCTCCCTGCTGTGACACAAGGAAGGGACGTGGGTCTGCAGCTCCTCACCTTCCCCCGTGACTGAACCATGTGCCACCCAAAATAGGGTCTAATTTTAGGAAGGGGCAGTCAGCAGATGGGAATGCGTACAGGGAAGGTCTGTGAGTCATGCCTGATGAATTTGCTAGAACATACAGAGGACATGACGGAGTCGAGAGATGGGAGACAAAACAGTCTCCAGCTGCAGCCAGGCACTTCGCCCTTCTTCAAGTACAGCTGTACAGCTCAATCCCGGCATGGTTGTCTTTCCTGGATATTTTTAGGAGCTACATTTTTTTAGGAGCCCCACTGATTTGCCCAGCCTACGTTGAGGAGGCCTTTGAAAAGAGATGAATTAACCCCACAGGAACAGAGAGCAGAATGTCAGGGAAAAAAGCTTCAAGCTGGGAAAAGGGAACGTAGTGCCCAAGTCCCTTTTGAAATGCATGACCTTGAGGGATGCACAGCATAAAAAGTGTCTAAGTTCCCTGATGACCTAAAACGTGGGGGAGATGGGAAGACCTAGCAGAGCTGGAGAAGAGCAAACAACCTCTCTGGGAATTGGTGAGAGGGGTGGAGGGCTGCGAGGCAGAAGGGGAGCACTTGGCAAAGCTGCAACACAGGGCTCGGAATGGAGGCAGGGGAGAAGGTGGCTGGTGTGGATGGTGGAGAGCAGCCTGGAAACCCCCTTTGTAGTAACACCTGGGAGAGGGACAGGGTAGTTGAAGTCAGCAGATAATAGCATGAGATCTGGGACAGCAGATCTGAGTGTGCTTTTCCCTTCGCTACCACAGATTAGGAGTAGCTACACATAAATCAGTGATGTCAAACCAGTATAAAAGTGATATGAAAAGGGAATTAAGCACGGCGTTTGACAGAAATACAAAGCCAGGAAAATGAGACTCCTGCTCCCAGAGCTGAGTGCATCATATGGAACCAAAATTTTAATCTGTGAGGATGCTCTTCTCCCCGCTCCCAGGAGATGCATGATGAGATCATGACTTTCTAAAATCTAGTCACCGCTCCAAGATATTCCACACTGCTTTTGGCTCCCTGGACCAGTTGCGGCTCTTTGTAGTGCCAGCCCGGCTGAGGGCAGGTGGAGAAGATGTAATTTCTGGTTCCCAGCTGGCTGTAGGGGGTCAGCGTCTCTAGCAGGGCCTCGAGGTGCCAAATCCAAACCTTTGGTTCCCTCTGGAGTCCTAGACAACTCCTGGACACTTTGCTTCTGTGCCTGCAGCAGCCGAGGAAGCCACTGGTGCTCCAGGAGTGGGCACAGAGGTGGGATGGCCCCGGGGGCTGCTCCTTCCCCGCTGCAGGTGCCATAGCAAGGAGCACGCTGTGCTTCAAACCTCTCTCATGTGTGTTTGCTCCAGAGGCACTGAGGACAGCACATCCCCTGCCCGGTCTGTAAGGGACCCATATGGCACAAGATTTCTGGTTTCACCCCAGCGCAGAGGCTGCGGTGCCGCCGGAGCAAATCACACGCTGCAAACTGGCAGAGGAGCCGTTTGGCCAAATTTGAATGAGAGCTGTGTGCCCGGGTGAGAAGATGCTCTCGGTGTGTTTGCTCCAGAGGCACTGAGGACAGCACATCCCCTGCCCGGTCTGTAAGGGACCCATATGGCACAAGATTTCTGGTTTCACCCCAGCGCAGAGGCTGCGGTGCCGCCGGAGCAAATCACACGCTGCAAACTGGCAGAGGAGCCGTTTGGCCAAATTTGAATGAGAGCTGTGTGCCCGGGTGAGAAGGTGCTCTCATTTCCATGCCAGCAGGACCTGCAGCCCCCTCTCGAAGGGGCAGCCCTGATTGATTAAGAGGAAATCATGATGATTTTTGAATGTGAACGGCTGCTTCAAAACTGATCATGCTTAAATCCCGACTTGTTTCCTTCCCACAAGGACCCTTGGTGAGAAGAGTCACAGTCCTACGTCCCCCTGGGCTGTGTCCCAGCCCTGCCTCGCTCCTGCCCACCTTGGGCCCCTTTGGCAAGAGCGGGTCAGAACCGCCTCCACGCAGCGAGGAGGCATGAGCGATGAAGATTACCCTTAATCCCCTCTTAGTGCTGAGAACTCCTTGTAGCCTCTCATTAAACGCTTTGCTGATTATTAATGGACTTTTATTGGAGAGAGAGGGGGAAAAAAACCCTCCACACTTTAGAGCTTTGGGCTGACTCCTCCTGGCTTTTCATTGTCGGCACAGCGCTGCTGGCATGAGGAAGAGGAGACCACCTGCCTGCCCCTTATGTTGACTTCACCATCGGAGCTGGAGCATGGATGGGACAGGGAGGGAAGATGAGAGAGGAGCAGCTTTGTCTCCATCCCACTGCTGCTGTCGCCTGCGATGGGTGAGTTGCTGGTCAGGTGGTGGGGTGAGCAAAGGGGATGTAGGAGACACCAGGGTGTCTTGCCTGGTGCCTCTAGGATCAGGGAAGTACCTACGCCACCAGGGCATCACTGGGAGATGCTCAGAGCTCCTGGCTCTGCTGCCATGGTCCCTCTCCTTGCTGCTGGGTCTCTCCCTTTTGAAGCCAGCCTCAATTTGCACCTTCTGCCATGAGCTCCTGTGGTGGGGCTGGGGGTGAGAGCTGGTTTGCTGCCTTTAGCCGAGCAAACTGCCAGGGGAAACTTTTGCTTAGAGCAAAAGGATGAATCTGTGGAAATATCACACCCTTGGAGGTCACCTTTGCCAGCTGAGTCCTGTGGTCAGGCTATAGGTTTGGAATTAGAGCCTGTTCCTGGATTTATCTCCCCAGCCAAGGGGCTCAGCCTCCCCTCCAAATCTGCTCCTTCTGAATTCAACTGTCCTGGAAACTCCAGCTGCTTGGAAGTGCCTGGAGTGAAACGCGGTTGCTTCCTCCGTGGGCAAGGCTACGCTGTACTCATGGCATTTTCCAGTGCAGTTAGTTCCTCTCCCGCAAGCAGCTCCTTTCCTGCTGGGAAAGGCTCAGCTGCTTCAGAGCCCCTCGGACATGGCCCAGCGAGCAGCATGCCAGCCGAGGCTCCGAAGCGGCTCGTTCAGTGCTATCCACCTGCACGCTGTGTGCCCTTTCCTGCAGGAAGCAGTGAGCATCAGCCTTAAATCCCAGTACCCCTTTGTTCCTGCACCACAGCCTTCCCTGCGGATGCGGGAGATGGAAGGACACAACCTGCAAGGGGAAGGAGCATCCCATAAGATCCTGCGGGATGTTCTCGGCG